AAATACATCTGATGGATGTGAAGACAACCTTTTTAAATGGAGATTTGGAGGAAGAGATTTATTTGGAACAACCTGAAGGGTTTGTGGTTCCCGGAAAAGAAAGAAAGGTGTGCCGACTTGTTAAGTCACTTTACGGATTGAAACTAGCACCCAAAAAAATGGATGCAAAATTTTACCAAACAATGTTAGAAAATGGGTTTACGATTAAAGAGTGTGATAAATGTATTTACATTTCAAACGCTCCAAATCAGATAGTCATTGTTTGTTCATATATTGATGATATGTTAATAATGAGCAAAGACATTGCGTACATAAATTCCACTAAGTGTATACTTGCTAGTAAGTTTGATGCAAGATTTAGGAGTTGTTGATTTAGTTCTAGGATTTAAAATCCATAGGACTCCTCAAGGTTTGGCATTGTCACAATTTCAAAATGGTACTTGAAAAATTCAGGGTATTTAGATTTCAAGATGCAAAGATCCTGATCGATATAAATGTTGCTCTTACAAAGAATCTAGGTCAGAACAAATCTCAATTGGATTATGCTTGAGTGTTGGAAATTTTGATGTACATCATGAATTGTACACTACTTGATATAGCTTGTGCAGTAAGTAAACTGAGTAATTACACAAGTAACCTCGACTAAACTCATTGAATGGAAATAAAACGAGTTTTGGGAAATTTAAAATAACCCAAGATTACTCTTTGCACTACAATAAGTATCCTGCTGTAATTAAAGGAAATAGTGATGCAAACTGGATCACTGGATCAGCAAAAAAAGAGTTCACAAGTGGATACGTTTTTACCATTAATGGAGGAGCAGTGTCCTGGAAATCATCCAAACAGACATGCATCATTCTCTCTACAATAGATCCTGAGTTTATAGCTTTAGACAATGCTGGAGAAGAAGTTGAATGGCTTTGAAATTGCTTGGAAGATATTTTTTTTTGGCCCAAACCAATGGCTCCTATGTCCATACATTGCGATAGTAAAGCATTAATAGGAATGGCTGGGAGCGTTATGTATAACGGAAAATCTCGTCACATACGACGAAGACATATTACTGTTAGACAAAATACTCTCTAGTAAAATTATCAAAATTAACTACGTAAAGTCAAAAGACATTGTGTCAGATCCACTTGTAAAAGGCCTAACTAGAGAGGTTGTTGATAAATCATTGAAGGGAATAGGACTATGACCGAGGACAAGTCATTGTGGCATGTAATTATACCTAGAAGACTAGAGATCCCAATATCTAAGTTCAAGGAGATCAAACAAAGTCATTAATGATGATTCAACATTGTCAAATAAAACTTTGGCCCATTTTCGTGATGAATACAATCAATACCAAGAATAAAGCATCAAGGCTTTTTAATAGTTTCTAACTTTGATACGGAGTACATCAAATAGTGTATCTATGTGATAACATATTTAGGAATCACCTATGTAAGTGTGAAGTATAAGCCGCTTCAAGGAGAATTTCGTAAGGTCAGTTCTCTATGAACTTATAAACCAGGCAATGTTCATGGCTGAAACAAATATAATAATGAGAATCAAAGATGATTAAATGGTTGATTGTGTGACTTATGGATGTCTAGGTATACACCAAAGTTCGAGGGTTCAAAGATGTCATATTTAATTATTGACGTAGTATATCCGACATAAGTTCACTACAAAAAGTTTAAAGAAAAACCTACTTATCTAGATGCGATTAGTCCTTGCTTGTAAATCAAACAGTTTTTTTCATGCATGTATATTTTCAGATAGCCATTAACCATTCATGCGGGGGGGAGGGGGGGGATGTTGGATTCTTATCTAATAAAATAAAAATGTGTGAATGGAAAATGGAGGGAAAAGGATTGGAGGAAAACGAAAAGTTTGTACTATTCCTTTTATTAAGGCACTTTGTCCCTCATCATAAAATAAAAAGTAAATCCTTGTGCTTACATAGAGAAGTACATCTTCTAGCTCTTAAAAGAGTTGAGAAGAAGTGGTGCATCGCGTCGTCATCGTCGTCACTCGCTCAGTTCGGCTTCGGGTTCGAATTCGAATTTGGTCAATGATACGATTGCTTGATAAAAAAATTTGGACCAAAAGTTTTTTTCCTTTATATATATTTTTCCAGATATTTTTTTTTGCAGAATTTTTTATAATAAAATCCGCGGTGGTAATCTTCCCACGATCAAATTCCCACCTAACAGAAATTTGATTAATTTCTTGCGAACAAACACCTTCTCATACGAACAAGTATCTTAGCACCTATTGAGACCCAGACCGTTGGATATAAATACAGTGGATTAGCCTCAATTTTCAGACACTGAACAACAGAAAATCTGCATACATTCTCCCCTCTGTTCTTTGCATTTCTGCATTGTTTTCAAAACAAAAAGAAAGCATCAGTGTGATTTACTGTCATTTGTCGAGTTCGACGATGTTATGTAATTTTCATTGCCGGTATTACAGAATAGTTATTCCATTCTATCTTGGGAGGAATTAATCTAATAACCTTGGGCAATAGAGGGGATTAAATTCCTTAAGAAAACATAATTTTCTATTGGGCTTGAAACTTTTAGTTTTTCTACTTTAGGTTCTATTTTTTTTTTCTATTTTACTTTTACAAAAATTATTTTCGAACACAATTTATAATAGTACACAGATCTTGAGTTAACACAAGAAGTTAAGTTACAGAAAAAAATGTATTGGAGTCAATTGTCGAGGCTAGTATGTTAGAGGAAATTACTTGAATTTTTATAGTCTTGGCATATTAAAAATTGATTAAGAGCGTCAAGAGTGTATATGTTAGGTTCTAAGCATCGATATATGCCATTATCAGTAGTATGATACCTGAGCAAGTTTTAAAAAATATTTCTTGCCTTGTACTGAGTTCTAAAAGTTGCTCGAGGGCGAGCAAGAGACTAAGTATGGGGTGATGATATTTGGCTAGAAGTGTATATATTTAGTATAAATTCACCTCATATCTTATGCTTACATACCATAATTTGCATGCTTTTGATGCATTTTAAACTCAGTACGTGCATTACATGTGGAGGGAATGAATCTGACGGAAAAAGACTATTATGGATCGAATTGGTGCAAGAATTGAGTAAAGAACACCAATAAGCTGAAAACCAGGTCGTCTGCCCTCGCGAGAAGGTCTGGACTCCAAGAAGTTTCAACCTCCAACGGAGGTAGTGAATGAGGCAAACATGAGGTCCATCGCGTAAACTGCTGGGAAAGTGTAATGTACTAGAATTATGGAGAATTTAAAGACAGAAATGAAGTATTTTATTGATATATGGATCCAATTATACTCAAAGGGTACAATAGAATGTAATCTACAGCTAACTAATGAGCTCTAATCAGCTGCTCCAATGGTGAATACCTGAAATGAGAGAAGAAGAGAATGAGGAAGAAGGAGAATCGAGAGAGAAGAGAGATAGATAGAGAGAGGTTGTGAGAATTACCAGAATCATTAGTTGTAACTGCTCCCCTCCATTCTGTTATTTGTTGTTTGACTAGTAAATAAATTGTAATTGGGCTACTGAATTGTAATTGGGTTGCGGTTAATAAGAACTGCTGACTCTTCCACTTGGGCCTGTGATATACGAGTAAGGCCCAATACTGACTAAACCAATATAGGCTTCTTCTCTTCTTCGTATCTCTTCCCTAATTCATTTCTAGATTGTTCCGCCGCCTTAGACATAACATTCTCCACCCCTTCAAGATAGACCTTGTCCTCAAGGTCTCTGTTGTGCCACAAACTCAGGAAAACAATGTTTAATGTAGCCCCAATCTTCCCATGATGCTTCTTCCTTGCCTAGGTTAGCCCATTGAATCAACACCTTCACTTGAACCCCATTATCGACCTTGACCATCCTCCTCTCCAAGATAGCAATTGGCCGGATCAAGACTCGACCTTCATCATCGCAAGTGGGAGGCTGTAGCTGAGATGTCAGTGCTGGACCTATCCGCTTCTTCAACTGAGACACATGGAAGACGGGATGAAGCTGAGATCCGACTTGGGAGGTCCAGCCGGTAAGCCACTGTACCAATCTTCTGTATAACCTTGTAGGGACCATAATAGCGAGCACTTAACTTCACATTTTTGCGAACATCAATTGAAGATTGTTTGTAAGGCTGTAGCTTAAGGTACACTAGATCCCCTACTGTCAAAGACCTTTCTGACCTTAGTTTGTCTGCATAAAACTTCATCCTAGACTGAGCTTGAATAAGATTATCTTTGAGAATTTGTAGCATGTGCCGCCTCTGTGTTAAAGTGTCTGTTGCTGAGTTGTGACCACTCTGGGGTAGGGACCCCAATGGTAAATGAGTCGGAGGGTGTCCATATAGTGCCTCAAATGGTGTCGTCTTGATAGAAGTGTGGTAATTAGTATTGTACCACCACTCTGCAAGATGCAGCCGCCCACTGCTTAGGATTTCCAAATACCATAGCTCGCAAATAAGCCTCTAAGCACCTGTTGAGTCGCTCAGTCTGGCCATCGGACTATGGGTGATAGGCAGAACTCATGTTGAGTTTAGTGCCTAAAGCCTTGAAGAGATACTGCCAGAAATGGCTAGTGAAAATGGCATCTCTATCAGAAACAATAGTCTTGGGAAGCCCATGTAATCTGTATATCTCTCTCATAAACAATTAGGCTACATCTTGTGCTGAATATGGGTGTTTAATAGATATGAAATGCCCATATTTTGTTAGCCTGTCCATAACCACCAATACAGCATTTTTCTGCCTAGAATTAGGTAAACCCTCAATAAAGTCCAGAGATATATCCTGCCAAGCCTGTTCAGGAATAGGTAAGGGTTGGAGTAACCCTGGATAATGGTTGTGCTCGTTCTTAGTCCTTAGACAGATATCACACTCACTAACCCACTTAAAAGTTTCTGATTTCATATTTGGCCAATAGAACATTGATTGCACTCTCCTGCAAGTTCCCTGCTGACCTGAATGTCCTCCTAAGGATGATTGATGCAAGGTTTCCAGTATCTGTTGCTTCAACTCTTTATTCTGCCCCACATAGATCTTTTGCTTGAATCTGATGATTCCTTGGTGTAGTGAGTAATCAACTTTGCTGTTAGGACTGACCACTAATCACTTACAATCTGTAGAGCTATTGGATCATTCTCATAACTCTGAGAAACCTCCTGTAACCAAGTGGCTTGGGCTATAGATATAGCTAGTAAAGTAGAGTCTTCTTCTTGTCTTCTTGAAAAAGCATCTGCAACCTTGTTCTCCTCACCTTTCTTGTACTGAACCTCATAATCCAACCCTAGCAATTTAGTTAGCCCCTTTTGCTGCAAGGCTGTGTTCACTTTTTGCTCTAATAGGTACTTAAGACTCTGATGATCTGTTTTGACAATGAAGTGTCCTCCTTGTAAGTAATGCCTCCATTTTTCTATGGATGAAAGTACAGCTAGGTACTCTTTTTCATAAGTAGAAAGTCCCCTGTGTTTCAAGGCTAAAGCCTTACTGAAATAGGCTATAGGTCTGCCCCCTTGCATGAGTACAGCTCCCATACCTGTTGCACATGCATCAGTTTCAATAATGAAAGGTTTGTTAAAATCAGCAAGAGCCAACACTGGTACAGTTGACATGGCTTGTTTCAGTTGTTGGAAAGCCTCTTCTGCTTCTGTACTCCACTGGAAGGAATTCTTCTTGAGAAGATTTGTCAGGGGTCTACTGATAACCCCATAGGACTTAACAAATCTCCTATAATAGCCAGTTAACCCCAGAAATCCCCTTAAGGCTTTTACAGACTTAGGAATAGGCCAATTGATCATTGCTTCAATCTTTGAAGGGTCAGTGGCAACTCCTCTTCCTGAAATGATGTGTCCTAGATACTCCACTTTATCTTGCCCAAATGAAAACTTGGACAATTTGGCATATAGTTTCTCCTTGCACAGTACCTCTAACACTTTTCTAAGATGTAATGCATGTACTTCTAATGAAGAGCTGTAGACTAGAATATCATCAAAAAATACCAACACAAATTTCCTCAAAAAAGGTTTAAAAATGTGATTCATAAGACTTTGAAAGGTGGCAGGTGCATTAGTCAAGCCAAAGGGCATGACTTTAAACTCATAATGGCCTAAATGAGTCCTTAAAGCAGTCTTATAGATATCAGCTTCTCCCATTCTTATCTGGTGGTATCCAGCCCTTAGGTCAATTTTTGAGTAGATGCAGGCACCATGTAATTCATCCATTAAATCATCTACCAAAGGAATAGGAAATTTATCCTTTATAGTCATCTTGTTTAACTCCCTATAATTAATACAAAATCTCCAACTTCCATCTTTCTTTTTAACTAAAAGAACTGGGGAAGAGAAGGGAGAATGACTAGGCTGTATAGTACCACTAGAGAGCATTTCATTCACTTGTTTCTCTATTTCATTTTTTGAAAAATAATTGTACCTGTAAGGTCTAATGCTGACTGGAACTGCTTCAGGTTTGAGGGGAATAAAGTGATCCTGCTTCCGTCTGGGAGGCAGTGCTTTTGGCTCAGCAAAGACCCTGGCAAATTCTTCCAATACTGATTTAATCTCCTCAGATATGGCTTCTGTTACTCTTTCTTCCTTGGCTGTTAGAGTGAATAAGTGTGCCCACAATACTTGACCTTTCTTCAGTAGTTGCTTCACACCTAAAGCTGACATAGCTTGGAGACTTCCTTCTTCAGTATACCCTTTCAAATCCACCCTTTTTCCATTGACACTGACTTGCAGTCTGTACCCAATGAAGTCAAATAGTATAGGATTATGTTTTCTCATCCAGTCCCCACCAAGTACTATATCACACCCTCCAATATCCAACAACCTGAGTTTGTAATCAAATTCTACTCCATGAACCTTCCATTTGAACAGAGGACAGTAGTGATAGCTCATCAAATGACTACCATTGGCAGCAGTCACTCTCATAGGGGCAGCTTCTCTAATCACACACCCTAATTGTTTAGCATTGTCACTAGCCACAAAGCTGTGGGTACTTCCATTGTCAGCTAGTATTATCAATCCTTGCTTCCCATACATTCCTTTAAGCTTGATTGTATTGGAAGTAACTGTACCTGATAAGGCATTTAAACTAATGGCCTCATCAATCACCTCTTCATAAGGCTCCTCCAACTCCTTAATCTCTTCCAAATTGGATCCTTCTACCACTTCTTCCTGTTCAGTGGTACCAGATAGAGTGTTAATTTGCCTATTCTTGCACACATGACCTGGGAAATATCTTTCCCCACACTTGTAACACTCTCCTCTAGCTTTTCTAGCTTCAAACAGTTTGTTTCCAGGTGTAGAACTGTTATAATTCCCCTCCTTCTGTCCTATACCAGAATTTTTTACCCCTCCTGTACTAAAATTAGTGTTGTACTGATTCCCTGGTCTACTACCCCCCAATTTCCCTTCTCTGTTCATTGAATCCAACAATTCTTCCTTATGTCTAGCCTTCTCTACTGCTTGACTCAAGGAATAAGGATCTAACATTTTAACTGTGTGTCTAGTTTCCTCCTTAAGGCTTTCAATGAAGAATCCTAAGAAGAATTCCTCAGGTATAGTAGGGTGTTTGATCAACACCCAAGCTTTAAGATCTTCAAACTTTTCAAGATACTCATTCACAGTCCCTATTTGCTCAATTCTTTTGAATTTCCCAAGTAAATTCAGGTTACTATTATCAGAATTATTAAATCTCTTACAAATTTCCTCCACAAAGTCAGCCCATATTACCACTCCCCTACTCAATTGATATGAGAAGTAACAAGACTCAGCTCTACCATTTAGGTGTAATACAGCAGTTTCTAATTTGTGTTGTGGATCTAATATGCCATTATAATGAAAATAGCTCTCACATTTTCGCAGCCAAGATCTGGGATCACCTTCCTCGAAGTAAGGGCAATCAACCTTGTTTCTGTTCATGTGGAATTTGCCGCCAGAATTTTCATGAAGATCCTTCCCCCTTGCTCTACCAGATCCAAAATCGTGAATTTCTACTGGTGCACTTCCCAAGAGGCCATCCTTGTTGATGAATAGCTTCTCCATCATCACATCCATTTTGTGACCTAGAACATCCATTTTTGTTTCATTAGTTTCCAATTTCTGATTTGTTTCAGTCATGTAATTCTGCAATTGTTGTTCTAACTTCTTCACACTTTCCTCTGTAACTTTAGCTCGAGTTTCTGTAATTGTCATGGTGCGAGGATCAAGCACTGATACCAATTTGTAATGTACTAGAATTATGGAGAATTTAAAGACAGAAATAAAGTATTTTATTGATATATGGATCCAATTACACTCAAAGGGTACAATAGAATGTAATCTACAGCTAACTAATGAGCTCTAATCAGCTGCTCCAATGGTGAATACCTGAAATGAGAGAAGAAGAAGAGAATGAGGAAGAAGGAGAATCGAGAGAGAAGAGAGATAGAGAGAGAGAGGTTGTGAGAAAATTACCAGAATCATTAGTTGTAACTGCTCCCCTCCATTCTGTTATTTATTGTTTGACTAGTAACTAAATTGTAATTGGGCTACTGAATTGTAATTGGGCTGCGGTTTAATAAGAACTGCTGACTCTTCTACTTGGGCCTGTGATATACGAGTAAGGCCCAATACTGACTAAACCAATATAGGCTTCTTCTCTTCTTCGTATCTCTTCCCTAATTCATTTCTAGATTGTTCCGCCGCCTCAGACATAACAGAAAGAGCTGAAAACACTACTCGTCTGCTTCCTCTCGCCACGTAAGGATTGTGAACGAGCTCCTAGTTCTCCTGTCCGAGATTGGATTGGACAAGGCCACCCTATGCAATACTAAATCATATAAATACTATTATTGAAGGATAGAATATAGGGAGCGAAGAAGAACAAGATTCGTCAACGAGTTTCTTCTTTCTTTCACTTTTCTTGTTGGTTATGAATTCTAGAATGGTATATTTACGTATTATTATGAATGGCTAGACTTTTTATCTTGGATTTTGATGAGACTGATTTTTGGATGAATAATTGACTGAATTTTCGAATCGTTTTTACTCTCTACTTGTTCAACTACGTATTGATTGTTCTTAGTTGAATGGCCATCAATTTGTTGTACCTTACTATTTTGTATTGCTTGAGAGAGATTACAAGATTACGTTGTTATTGAATAATATTACTTTTAAGTAGTTAAGATATTAATTATCGGATTTAATAGTAGAATTAGAGATAATGAAGCTTTAAGGCAATCTTGGTGAGTCATTTTGAATTGCTAACTAGAGTTAATTCGAGACAATAATTCTAGAAAATTACTGTTGTTTATCGAAACATAATCACAGTAACGAGAGAACTCACGACTGAAGAATAACTTTGTGAAATTATAGTGAACACGTTAGACTTTCATTTCAATAATTATGAAAATAATGATCCTAAGCGTTTTACTCTTAAATACTACTTTGCTCCCTGTGTAGCTGATAGTTTTACTACTTTATAGCTGTTATAATTAGTTTAAAATAAAAATCTTTAATTTTTATTTTTCTTAAATTATTTGAACTTGTTTCCTAGTGATATTGAATAGTTATAATTAGAGAAATTTTCATAAAGCACTATCTTTTAGTAGTAATTAGTCATGAATTTGGGTGGGAGAAGAGGTATGAATCGTGGGTTTGTGGGAGAAGAGAGTAAAGTGTATGCAAAAAGAGAAAGAGAACGTGGTTAGTAAGATTTACTGTGATTATGTGAGAGAAAAGACTAAAAAGGAGAGAGAAAAATATTATTTAGCATATATGGTGCCTTAAATGTAGGATGTAACTATAATTAGATATTTTGCTATAAAGGATAAAAGGTATCTATAGGATGTAATATTTTAAAATGGTATTTATTTAAAATAAATAGAGTACTAAGCTTTTCTATAGGGTGTAAAATTTCCTTCTCTTTTTTAGAACTAGAGTTGGGATCACGCCACCTGAAGCCCAATATGGTAGATATTATCAATACATTTTGGATACACATACACTTACATGAGATGAATCATGCTCTCTTATTATGGGCTTTATTTTTGCCTTTTGAAAATCTTTTTGGCATTTGCTTTGTGTAAAACTTGATTATTGAAAAGACAGAGAACTCCACTGTTGTTAAACAAGTTCATGTGTGTACATGTTAAATATTTCAAATGATATGCTAAACAAACTAAAAGAATTGCAAATGAACCTGAAAAAGAACAGAGGGAAAAAAAGATAAACAAATTGGACATCATTAATCTGCCATAAGTTATGGGCAAAGAAAGATCCAAACAAATATCCAGGATGACAAATGAAATGATAGAACGACAAAAAAGAAGAAGGTAGAAAATGAAAAAGGAAAGTAAAATATGCATTACTCATTGCCCAACAGGCTACATCATCCATTCTTAATACCACTTCTATGTGTTTCTGTCCCTCCTCATAAAATGGCCACTCTGGTCTCTAACTAGCTTTATTTGATACAACATTCGTCATGTTTCACGTTCTCTAACAAAGAATGAATCGTTTGAGAGTTTAACAAACAAAACGATGGGCTGACTTAAAGACTGCTCCCTTTTAATTTTGGAAGTTGTGATTCACTTTTTTTCTTTTGGGGAAAAGTTTATCATTGATGTGTCACGACTCCAAATTCCTACGTTAGGTTGTCGTGATGCATCGGAACAATATGTAAGATCATAACTTTAAGACTATTTTCACTTTGATATTGATTTATTTATATAATCCTTATTACTTTTATTTCAGGATGGATATCATAGAAGCTTGGATGAATGGTTTCAGACGCAACCTACTTCTGATGATGGTATCCCAATCCAACCGTCACCCGATGATATGACTTCAATATGGACGGATGTAGCAGGTGGTGTATCCAAAGGAAGAGTTTACGGGCTTGGAGTACAATGGCCTTCCTCTTTTCGTCCATCGCCATTAGTTTCGGATGCTCCTACTGCGCAATATCAGGAAGAAATGGGAGCAATGCAAAAGAAAATTGAGTTGTTGTCGAAACGATGTGAGACGGCCGAAGCTCACATTGCTAGAATGGATAAAAACATGAAAAACACATGCCCCACTCTTATGATGATGAAGAGACTGATTCTGATGTGTAATAGTGATTTAAGGTTGATTACTATTCTTGGATGCTTAAATTTTATATTTAGACTTTATGGTAGATTTGAATAATGTGGTATATATATGTTTAGACTTTATTATATTAGTGTCGATATGTATTAGCTACTCATACTTGATATTGAATATTTAGACGTTAACTAATGTTTTCGTTTGATATTATGGAATTTGAATGTTTGTTTGTTGAAGTTGGAATTGGTTGGATTGATTATTAGATTGTTTAGTTGGAATTGGTTGTGTAGTTGAAATTGATTGGTTGAGTTGGTTGTTTAGTTGGAATTGGCTTGTTTATAATATTTGCATTTGACAGATGGTGTGCTAATAAAATGGCAGCATTCTGTCAAATTCCAACCTAGTTTTCCGACTACTGTAGTCGAAAAATGTGCCCAGCATAATGATTTTCCGACTACAATAGTCAGAAAATGAGGTCGGAATAATGCAGATTCCGACTACTCTAGTTGGAAAATACAGTAAAATAACTAATAAAAAATTATTATTTGTATAATATCCCCACTACAGTAGTCGGAAATATTTTTTAAAATAAATAATATTTTTTGTACTTTATGACTACTTCAGTCGGAAAATAGCTGCCTTTTCTAATTTTTGGTGGAAAATATTTTCCGACCTATCTTTTTCCGACTACTCTAAATCAGTCGGAAAGTAGTCGGAATAGGTGCTTTTCCGACTACTTTTCGACTATTTTGGTAGTCGGAAAATATCGAGTTTCTAGTAGTGATGGAACCTAGTCCCTAAAACTAGGTAAGCCTAACATACATCAAGATCTAGAAAAGATATCAACTTAAACTGGTAATCTATCGTAATAAAACCAAATAGTACATCTGCCAATAACTCCCAAAAACCTAGTGGAACCGAGTCATAATCTCTACATGGAATGTACTAATAAACTCTAAATACAATACTGCTTCGAACTAGAAATAAACAGTAACACGACTAAAAGCACAAGGTGACTCCGAGGTCTGCGAGCGTCGAGCAGGTGTACCTTGAAGTCTCTTGAATAATTGGTCAATCACTGGCGCCCGACACGAGCAGATGTACCTGGATCTGCACAAAAATGTGCAGAAGCATAGCATGACTATACCACAATGGTACCCAATAAGTATCAAGACTAACCTCGGTAGAGTAATGACAATGCCAGATCAAGACAGCTACTAGGACAAGAAAAACTGAACAGAGTATAAGATAATCTTATACGGAAAGCAAGGAAATAAATGACAACACAGCATTACAAGAATGTAAGGCCAACAACGGATATTACAACAAATAAGGGACAACAAGAATGAGCATATAATGACAACAACAAATAATCAAATACAAGTGAAACAAATTAAAGAATAATAAAAATTGTTCAACCAACAAACTTTTTTAACATAGAACGTACAACAAGAATCACAACCGAGGCACCACATCTCATATTCTCATTTCACAATTTACAGTCACAATCTTCATAATATCACCGCATGAGCCTTGCATTTATTTTGATAATATTTAACCCATAATAACTAAACGCATTTTAGCCCTCTTATCTCACCGCATGGCTTCAAGTAATTCTCTTACTAGCAACACGCGTATAAATCCCACCTTATCTCACTACATGTGTTTCGATACCCAACCTTATAACACCGCTTGTGTATTAATAACTCAACACAATAACTAATTCGCACCACATGTGCCCATATGCCACCACTTTGCCAAAATAACAATAACAATGTTACCATAACACATAGATCACGGCCCAATCACAATGTGTAAAAGAATCTCAATATTAATAAAATGAATGAGAAACAACCCCGCACGGAAATATATCTTGATAAATAACAACATCAATCTCAATGTATTATTAGCTTTCACAACTACAACTTCAATAACTCATAAAGAAGGTATTTTCAAGAAATAGCAACTTTCACTACAAGTGAATAACATAAACTTAACTATGAAAGAGATAGCATGAAATAAAAACCACGTCTTAATACATGAGAACAACTCAACAATGGAAAGAATATCATGTAACATCAACTACAATAAGTGCATATAAGTGTAAATTGACAATGGAAACCTAG